ATAGAGCGTAAAATTGAGAAGAGAAAACTAACAGAAAAAGTTATTCAACATAAAACTAGTAAAAACTAGCAAGTGAACAGTTGCTGCACTATTTTGACATTCTGCTGTTAACATTTTACTATTTACAGGTCTATTCTGCACGTTACCGAAGATTTTGTAACCGGAAAATTGTATTACCAAAAAATGTTACCAGTTCTTGTCACCGCGATTCTAGGTACGTTGGTAATGCAGTTAAAATATTCAGCAATTCAGCTATGAAGAATTGTGCACATCCTGGCATTGCATATTTCACGGGGCAATAATTTGTTACCAGCTAATGAGATGGTAACAAAATTTACCGGTTATAAGAGTATACAGAATGCGAAAAGGGTTAAAAATTGGCAAGAACTTTATTTACCGGTTACAAACTTTTTATTACCAGCGCAGAATAGACCTGTTATAAATCAGTTTTGAACTCTTTGCTTTACACACAAGCACGTAAACAGTCCTGTACATCATTGATATTTTGATTTCCGCTCATTTTACTTTTGTTTATGTGTAACCAATTTAACAAATGCGGCTTTCGACATTTATTCTTGTTCTTCTTCTGCAAATTAAAATTTCTGCTATTAAAAATTTCACTAGCATGAATTTCAGCTCTCCCGTGTTATTACGCTCTCGATTTAGTGCTCTATTGCCAATTTTTTGGGTATTATACACTTTTCCAGTAAAAATTTGCAGGTTCCAGTACAAATTAGTACTGACTATTTGTTAAGTTACACACCTTTTGTTACCACAATTTCTCATAGTCTCTTCATAGTTGAAGAATATTTTAACCAACGTACCTAGAATCGCGGTGACAAAAACTGCTAACATTTTTTGGTAATAAAATTTTTCGGTTACAAAATCTTCGGTAACGTGCAGAGTAGACCTGAAAGGTCCAGTTTCTCAATGGCTGGTTAACACTAACTGCAAGTTAAACTTCGTTATCCACGTGATCGACTCCATAACGTATAGCAGAGAGTTGATAACGTCGATAACGATGTTTAACAAGTAGTTAGTGTAAACCAGACATTGAGAACCTGACCCTAAGGGCCGGTTTCTCCATCTCTGGTGCATTGGGGGAAGGTTGCTGATTTTTAATTTACAAATCTTAAAATTTCAAGGAAAATACGTTTTCTTTTATTTCTGAAACTTATTTCCGAAATGTGACAGAAAGGTCTTCTTCACATTCTTCCATCATGTTCACACACCGAAATAAAATTTCTCTTTCTCAATTTGACAGCGAATTGTGTGGAAAATTTGGAAATATTCAGCCTCATTGCGTAAGTCGTAAATTAGGCTGAATTGTACGACTCGACAACGTTAGCATTGTCTACTGTCGTGCTGAAATAAGTAAACGACGAAAATTGTCGAAAACTATGCAGTGCTGCCAAGTTCTTCCGTTTTAATACACTAGTCGAGTGGAAATTTTAGGCAATAACGCTAAATTTTCGACACGATTCGACTCTCGAAAAACGACTTGCATTCAGCACGACTCTCGCAATGAGGCTGATTGTCACATCTGATACGCTCTTAAGAAAGACTTGCATATTCGGATATCTGTTCGGATATTCGTCCATACGAATAAAATCCGCATTATCCGGTTAGATAATATCCGTAAATTTTGCTATCCGAATATTCGGTCAATATATGTAAGTCCATTTAGTTATCCGGGTGTCCCAATTTTTTATCACATATTCGAATATCTCTTTTAAAAATATTAAAAATATTGACGAAACACTGAAGACAAAGTAATCATCTTTGAAAAACAACAGTGAAGGGACCTTCACATCGACCATCATCTCTATTCAAACAAACTGTCTGATTTACGCAGATCACTTAGTCTAAACGCGTAAATGCTTCGTAAGCTCGTAAACCTTGTAAACTTACTCGACTTTGTACGAAAACCCGGTTTATTTACACTTTACACAGTTACGATTTTTTATGCATATATCTGCTAACAAATTCCTGAGATTATTTCGGCTGGGACATGTAATTAACTACATTAATTGGGAGGCGAATCAAACAAGATGAGAAAATTCGAGCTATGTCCACCCCACACCATTTCAAAATATTTCTACAAGTCACATCGATATTGGATGTTTATAGTGAATTTAAAGAGTTAAAATATAACACTCGCAAGAGCGAAAAATATAATATATGTATATAACAATTATAAAAGATTTGATGTTTTTCTCACTTACCTTGTTTTCATCATTATCACACTGTAAAGAGAAAAACGCGAGTTAGCACAGTATTTCATAGTGTATTTAAAATGAAATACTTACGATATTATGCCCCGTCGCAATACTTTTGCATGTGACGCCCGCCTGAAAGTAGAAATTCACAAGTATACATCAAATAATTTTATTAACAAAAAGATTAATTAAAAAAATTGGTTTTAAGCTTATATTGGGCTTTAAAAGAACACCAGCAAAGCTTAAGATATGAATGCTAAACTAGATTACGAAACTTGTCAGTTTTTTGCAACTGAAGCTCAAAAAGCAAGTGATGATTAAAATTTTAATAATTATTTGGTCCATGAAAATATGTCCGTATGTGTGACAGTATCCAAATTTTTAATATGTAGTTTATTTCTATAAAAAATTACGGAATAGGTTCAAGTTTTCGGTTTTGCGTAAATTTCTCGATTCAATTTAGCTAGATAGCTGTTTTGGTGTTCACAAATCGGGCCAAATTTTTCAATTTCAACTTGAGTGCAAAAACTGAAATTTTATCTGAAGATTATTGGAATACCGAAGAGGACTTTATTAATGTGGTATTTATTTTTCCCCGACTCTTGCATCAAAAATAACTTCCAAGCTTCCATTGTGCAGAT